CTCATTGCACTTTTTATATTGGGGAAATCCACTTAAACAAACCCTGGAAAACGAGGGGGTTCCAGGGGGTTATGTGGCACCCCATATTAACCTGTACAGGGGATTGTTCAACAAGCACCCCCTGGTACATAGAGAATAGTGCCAAACTCGACGTAGATGCTGGAAAAGGCAAAAGTAATTAAAGAAAACTAATAAATAAATAAAAAAAGGCATCCACTTAAACAAACCCTGGAAAACGAGGGGGTTCCAGGGGGTTATGTGGCACCCCATATTAACCTGTACAGGGGATTGTTCAACAAGCACCCCCTGGTACATAGAGAATAGTGCCAAACTCGACGTAGATGCTGGAAAAGGCAAAAGTAATTAAAGAAAACTAATAAATAAATAAAAAAAGGCAAAAGCAATTAGGACAAGTAGATAAGGGATGTGGTCTGTTCGGTTAATGATGCAAAAAACCAAAGAGATCTGATTAAAATCATGCAATTTTGTTTCCAGTACAACTTGGGTAAGTATGAACACCAATGAAGACTAAAAAACCATAGTGCCAACAAATTTACACAAGCTAACAGATGTTATTAGCCAACAATCCCATTGCAAGAACACATGTATCCAGAGCAAAACAAGCTAAAAGAAATTACATTTACATAATTTGATCACAGATTGTCGAAGAAGAACTCGAGATTACAAATGCCTTTCAATGGCTTTTACATCAGGGCCTCGATTTGGCAGTGATTTACGAACAACAACTGCCAGCAGGAGGTGTATGCTGTTCTTGTTTCTGTTTCAGGATGTTTCTCTTCCCTACTGTAGATCCTTCTTCAAGAAGACTTGGCACCTCCATTATCTGGGAGAATCGAAAGTTCATTCCACAAGAAGAATGTGGTAAATGAACATTGTTAAACGGTAACATACTATTCTGTAATTAGAGTAGTCACAAAATAATTCTTCGTGGGACTTTATTCCACTGTAACAGTATGAAGTTCAAGAAATCAAGTTGTAGTTTGAAATCATATTGCAGAAATTAATGTATTGCTTTTACCTTTAAGGCCAGCTCTTCAAAACATCGTTCCACATTTTCCCGAGTTCTAGCACTGCATTCAAGATATATACATCCAAACTCTTTTGCAAGGGAAATGCCTTCTTCCCTACTTACAACTCGTTCGGATTCCTGATTTTCAATTCCATCAATTATGCATAAGAGTGAAAGTGAAGGACTGAGATAGAAAAAGAACCAAATCGACAAGCAACCGTAGAAAATCAAATACATTGCCCAAATAGAAACTACTGTGTATGTCACTTTATATATGTCGCATAATTCTATCCAATCACCACCCAACAACGTCTCCTATGAAATAGAAGCAAATTTGCACATTGCAGAGTACAAAAATACATTGTCAAACATTCAGGTATAATTGAATTGTGGCACGACAATTTTCAGTCCAAGGTAAAAGTTATCAATTTTGTCATCTCTTCTCATTGGAAGATAAACATTAATGCAAAAACATTTTCCAAGAAACAGGGAAAAAAATAGCAGATAAAAGGGGGGCAATGGAACCTGACATTTCAATCTGATTCAATCGCCTTCCCCTTATCAACACAGAAATAGTCAGTAACCTATTTGTCCATAATTAGATTTCCGAGCATACAGAAAAATCCAAAAAGGGATAAGTGAGCGAAAGAGAGCGAAAGATTTACTCTATCTACTTTGTTTCCAACAAGCATCTTGATGCAATCCTGATTAGTGGAGTAAAGTTCCACTTCTTTTGCCCATACATCAGATAAATTTGTAAAGGTGTCTCTTCTTGTCACATCATAAACTAAAAAGCAAACAGAAAATAAAACTAATCAATGGATAGCATGAGAAAAAAAGTGCAGTTATAGAAACCATAAAAGTTGAACGCTGATATCTGCATATTATAATCATGGAAATACTTAAAATTGTGCCCAAACCAATCCATACAGATTTATAGAAAAACCATATAAATGCACCTTCTTGAAAAGAGCCAAGTGTGTTTACTTCCTTTTTCCATTTTTCTTGTTAAAAGTTCATACGCAAAGCGAAAAGAAAATTAAAGTAGCGGTTCACTTGTTCCAAAGGTACATATGCTCTGGTGGATGCATCTGCAACACCCAAACACTAAATTTCATTTAATTAGAGCAAAGATGCAAGAAGTTTATGATGCCTTTCAAGCGAGTATGATTGAAATAAGAAGGCATGTGAGATAAAAATTTAAGGGGGAAAGTATGATTCCCAAAGAACCAGAAAATAATCAGCACTACGAGATTATCCTCACATGCTAAGAAAATTCGAGAAAAGCTGTTTGCTAATATACAAGAATCAATATAGTGTATAACAGACTTATTCTGCCACGTGTAACCATGCATTCTCTCATCATAATCGAACTGTTCCATGCTCAAAACAATTTTATGCTTGAAGAAGTACGATAAAAGGTGTAAAACAAGTCATTTTTACAAGTAAAACTTTGGAGAATAAATATTTGATAATCCCCTGGTAGAATAAGTGAATTTGATTTGGCAAAAACCTACCGAGAACAATCCCTTGGGCACCTCTATAATATGAGCTCGTCAATGTCCTGAACCTCTCTTGTCCAGCTGCAACATGTATTGTAAATTCTACATTTTCGCTTAGTAGGAAAATGAATGCATAGGTGACCAAGTACATTATAAACAATGAGACATGACGTTCAACCAACAAAGGAAAATCCTGTAAAGTTGTTCAAATTCCTGTTATTGGGGTGGGAGGATAAAACAAAAGATTCAAGGCAACCTAACCAGTGTCCCAAATTGTAAGCTTCAACTTTTTCCCACCAACTGTGAACAATTTGATCTTAAAATCCACACCTGGACATGGGAGAGACGGAATGAAGACAATAAACTATTATAAATCATCAGATCTAAATTTCAGGCTACTCCAATAATATCTGTTCCTGAATTTTCTCGACATTCTGATTCTGTCAACTCTATGAACGAAGAAAGATATTATTCTATCTGCTAGTTGAATTAAACATAAGAAATGAACAATAGAAACATACAAACGCATAGAAAAAGACAATTTACTTGCCCGAGCTTAAGAATTTGTGTTTATCAATTAGTGATACTCGTCAAAAAGATATATGGAAATTTAGAGCATCACTGTAGTCGTGGATGAGATGCTGTTCATTTAGGCTTCCAGTCAGAAAATACATTACATTATGGTTTGTGTAATTAACCTGAAGGAGACTGATTAGATTTTCTAGCTGCAACATAATATAAACAAAACATGAACTCGCAATTGAAAAAGGGTCGTACTGCCCAAACAAGCGACCATACTAATATCAAACACGATTATAATCTCCACGATCTTTCAAAATTGATCGATAGCTAACTAAACTTAAGATTTCTTGAATATGCTCATACAATGACAAGATACACACAATCTACTGAGAAGTCCAACTCAACTAACTTTACATGTGATTCTATTGAATGGGTTATTTCATCTAATTCTATCAACTGACAAAAGCATCAATTAATCTCAGCAAATTAAATCTGGGATAAGCCTCAATAACAACTGGAATCGATAAATAAGTCTATATATAAAAGTTTATATTCATCTCTTCACACAAATTTAAGTTCCAGATCGCATGCCTTTACCAAATCCCAGCAAAAGCACTTAAATTTCAATCTTTTTCTAATCAATCAACCCACCAATATAGAATTCCCAATAGGCATAGATTACAATTTACACATAAAAGTTCATCCCAATACAGAATAGTACCTATTGTAGGGGCAAGATCGTCAACAGCATTAGAAATAAAACTGACAAGAAGACTACTCTTGCCGACACCAGAATCTCCGATCAGCAAGATCTTGAACGACAGATCAAAGTTGCTCTGCCCTTGTCCCGATGAACCCATTAAACAATTTCCCCTTCTCTCTCCAAAAAATCTTTTTAGAAATTTCTCCTTCTCTCTCTACCTACCTATCTAGCTACTCAACAGCAACAATAGCAACAATTATGACAGTGACACTGACAACGTGCAATTAGAGGGAGAGCAAAAGGCAGGCAGATGAATAAAGAGAAACTAAAAAGTTTATTCCATCACATGTCCAGATACCACCACCCCATTTTCTCTCTCTATATATATTTGTATATATAGTTTTAGAGAGAGAAAGTGAACGGGAACGGCTAGTCGAGGAGTTAGGACAACGTTATCTTTCGTTTTCTCAGATGAAATTCCCGTTTTTGCGCGAAACGCAACACACGGTTGACGGTGACTGTGACTTTGACCGTGATATGGCATTCTTGTAATAATAATGAAAAACAGGGGTGATTGATTTACTTACTGTTTTGTCAGTGGACTGACGTTATTGGACCGGGCTCCATGTGGCGGGTCAGTCCTGGAGTGGGCCTTTACTGCAATGAGAACTTGGGTCTCGAAGGGCCCAGATGTCTCGCTGTCAATTTGCAATTTCAAATCACTTCATGAATGATGAACGACAAATTATCTCGTGTCGTGTCTCGTATTCCTGCATTGTTAAGTAATGAGAAGGGACCTTGAAAATGGTTTCCATGATTTATCCGAACTTGGATGAATTTTAATTTTATTTTTAATTTTTATATATATTAAAATAAATAAATAAATAAACGAGACAGTAAGAATGTTATTTCCTATCCCATTATTTTTCTTACACTAGTTAGTTATGGATCAATAAAAGTTATGTTGTAGAAAGTTAATATTTACTTTCTATAAAAGTTGAATTACTTAACACAAATAATTTTTGAAGTCTTTTTGAAAAATAAATAACTTCAAAAAAAGTAAATTTAAATGCTAAGTCTTGTTTGGCTCTATTTTTAAAAATTTATATTTCATCCAAACTTATTTTTAACAACATATTTCATAGGATTCATAAATTTTATTAATTTTTCAATCATATATTTCTTTAATTTTTATTAAAATCTGCTAAAAGTTTGACTTTTACCAAATCAAATAAGGACTAAATATGATCTAATTATTTCCCGGGTCACACCTCTGAACTCTCAACATTCCCGTAGATTTAAAAACGAGAGAATTTAGCATTTTACATTCTTATTTTTAATTTTTAATTATATTTTATTAGCTAGCATGTTCAATATTAAAAGTGAGACATTGTGATTAAAGTTGAGAAGACTACGAGTGATTTTTGAATACTCAGTCCTTCGTGAAATCATCATAAATTACCTTAATCATTTAAGGTCAAGGTGTAGATACTAGTAGAAAATGTTGAGAATGATAAATAAATTTATATATTATTTGATATTAGAAAATGTGGATACTTAGAGTTGACAAACTAGATTCATCATCAGGCCTAGTTTTTGCCAAGAAAGTAGAGTTCTACCACCATTCACTAAATTGGGAATCTTACAAATTCAAATAAGGAAAATGCTGAGCTGTCAGAAGGATTTTGCCCATCGTTTTGACAGATACTCATATATTAATGGGATCCGCGTCGACCCCACATGAATAAAAAATGTAAAAAATTCCACCCCACCCATCTCAATTGTGAGGATCCGTTAGCTGGGGTGTCAATTCTCTTCTGGCACCCCAGCATGGTCCTTCAAATAATCTTAATTGGATCGAAAACGAGGACATTGAATTTTGAGGATCCGAGGAAAATTTTTTGGATTAAGAGGGATCAAGTGAGCGATATGAAATGAGATTGTATCTTTTTAGTTCTTTTATTTTTGACTATAGTTTTTAAAGACGATGGTTGAGGAGTGTTGATGCCACATCATTATAGCCTTATGATGGAGTGGGCCATGATGTTTAAGGTGTAGATGGTGAAGGTCAATGAGTTGTGGCGATGGCGGTGGCAGTGGGTGGATTATGTTTTAGCCGACGAGGTGGGGCCCAAGGATGGTTGGGGAGGTGATCAACAGGGGGAGAAATCTCCTAGTTGGTGGTAGTTTTGATGGTTGGGTGAGGTTATGGTGGTTTGCCGAGGAGGAGGTTAGGTGGAATGGGAAATATGAATGTTTTTATTTTATTTTTTGCTATTTTGTTTCTCTTCTGATTTTTTATTTTTAATTAATTAAATGTTAGAAGATCAATTTATCTTGCATTAAATTTGTGAAATTAAGGTAAGACGTTTTTTTGATCAAATGATAAGATTTTGAACCTCTCCTACAAAATTTCCTCTAATTTTATAGGGTTTCAAGATAAATAGGTGAACGGACAAGTATCCTTGTATAATGGACCAACTACCGCAATCCAATAGGAGTTTGTATGTGCAATATCAATTATTATTATTATTATTATTATTATTATTATTATTATTATTATTATTTTATGAATGACTATGACAATTGTTATGTGCATATTGACCACACAACCATGAGAAAGTACCAAAATTCCTTTTCAATCAAATATTATCCAAATTAAGGCAGTTGTGTTACAATTACAAAAACTCCACAAAGGGAAAAAAGAGTGTGACATTAAATAATTTCAAAACAAATCGTAATTATTCTATTTTCTAGAAGTAGTGTTGTTCTCTTATGATTTCAATTTAGCATCAATGAACGCTTCAATTATGTAACTCGAAATGTATGGTCAAGACAGGACCTTCATGGTGATTTTGAAATTTTTTTATGATTTTTTTACTCAAATATCATATCGAGTAATCCTTCACATCGTCTACCAAAATTTTCATTTTTAGCATCCAAGACTTAACAATCGTCACAATTTAATACAAAACTGATGATATATTCTACCATGTTTTCAAGTGTGAGATTTTCGTATTTTAATTATAGTTTTTAAGTGAACTATTATCGTTTAAATATTTGAATAATCTCACAATACAATTTCAAACTCACGTGCAACTAATGTGTTACATACTAATCACAGGAAAATAAGTGCTAATTAAAGGTAGGTTGATGATAAAAGTACGATGAAAAAAGTTGAGGACACAAGTATAACAATAATTAGAAGTCAAGAACCTTTATTGTAAATAACATGTAGGTACTAATAAGAAAATGTGATATCAATGGAGTAATCTGTATGAAAAGTTTGCCGAGACAAACAAAAGGTATTGATATTGACACAAACATTTATATATTAGCGTACAAAGTTTTAATTGTATTAAAGGTCCCTAACATTTTTCTTGTAAGATTTACATCCCTATCATTTTTCCATTGCATTTTATACTTAATATTCTATTAATTAACACATGTAGTCCCTAATGAAGGTTTTCTTCAAATAAGTTAGCATTCTTTAAATAAGGAACAAATATTTAGTCTCAATTTTATGTTTATATCTTTTTGCTTATTTAAAAATACTAAGGGTAGATAAACTTGTTGATGGATATTGGCAAATAATAGTGTTATCGCTAATATATATTTGGGCAGAATAACGACGTTTGGATGATTTTGAATGGTCGAGGCAAGAGTTCGACTCTTTCTCCTTAAAACGATAATGCCTCGCACTGATACTGACGGTATTGCAGCACTCGTTTCCCAAGATACAACGATCTCATCTTGTAATAGCAGTACTCCAAATTACAGGACACGACGAACCCGTAAAGTTTAGATCTCTCCACACAAATTGGATGATTAAAATGCACAAGAAATAATGAATTATAAAACAGAAATGATACAGGGACAATGAGATAATTTTGGGAAAGTAGAAAATCAATTCTGATTTTTGGAATGAATTAAAATCGGGATATGGGGGTCTATATATAGATGTTGAAAGGTTGTATCTTAACAGACACAAACGCCGAAAAGTTGTGTCCAAAAGACACAAACAGTTTGGGCAGTCAATCACCACAATCGATTAGACATTCAACCGCCAAATTCTAGAAGCACCACGTGTCACACACAGAAAATTCAGGAAGAAAAAAATAATAATATAAAATATATTATTATTATTAAATAATAATAAAATAATATAATTCAAATGTTATTTTACCAAAAAATATATATCAGCTTGGCCCTAACCCACGACCCGTGACCGTGACCGTGCCGAGCTGGCCTGTCGGACGGACGGTGGTGGCAGTGCGCACGTGTGGGCTTTGGCTTAACATACTAGCATGTAGGTTCTCTCCCCCTCAAAGACTATTGGTACCTCTTATGGCCCAAACCCAAGTCCCAAACTTGAGCTATATAAGGTGGTTTATATGTTTCTAGTTTTCCTATGTGGGATTGGTATTTTCCAATTTTCCACATATTTTATTTCAACATCGAGTGTGCATCTTTTGGCCTTAATTTCTCAATCACCCTAAATTGGTTTTGAGAAAATAAATATACCATATTAATCAACTCATGGAGTAGAACACATTCGGCCAAAGAAATCTTATATCCGATTAACGGGACTCACTAAATTAATTGGTCAAAAGTTGGTCAAACCAACTAATTAAAACTCAATATTTCCAACAATCCCCCACATGAATGGAAATTAATGCAATAGACTATGCAGACCCTATAGAGAGATCAGGTGGAATGTTATCGCATCTGGATAGGTACCTTATGGGTTTGAACCTTCTGTAGTATAATACTATCGGATTTACTTGGTTAATCGTGAACACGGTGTCTTGAACTGTCAGCCATTTTTGTAAACCAAGACAATAATATCAACACAATAACCTTCCTAACATTTTCGAGTTCTCACTGTTGTGTTCATTTTGGCCCTGAACAACTCTTGGATTTCATAAGTGCTTTAGAAAATTCAAGCCTTTGAAACATTCTCATAGAAGCGGCTACACTTCACACTTGTATAGGTGATCTCCTATTAAGAGTACCTGCCATACTTTACTTAGGTAGTCCAAGATATATGAATCATTAAAAGTATAACTTAACCTAAAACTTTCTGCAGATAGCACTTCCTTATCATAGGAATGGGTAGGAGTTAAACTCCGAAGTGCTTATTTGAATCTTCATAACTTAGTTGTTCCATTGAACCAAGATTTTGGGATCTCTAGTAAGCAAGGTTGGGTTACCATTACAAAGATTCTTATGTAGTAGGCTTTAAGCCCATTCCCCTTAATAGACAGTATACTTGATCTTTTGGTAAGCCTTTGGTAAGTGGATCTGCAAGATTTTTTCTGAACTTTACATAATCTATGGAAATAACACCATTTAAGATCAACTGCTTAACTGTGTTATGTCTTCGACAAATATGTCGAGACTTATCATTATACATACTACTTTGTGCTCTATTGATAGCCGACTAAC